CTTGAGAGTCAGTCAGTCCCTGCACGTGGCTGGAATAATGCTCCAGTGTAGGAGCCATGAACGGCCACACTCGCCCCTGTGATCTGGGAGTAGAAGTGGCAAGTCTTCGGAGTGGGAACAGAGGGGCTATGGGGTCAAAATCAGCAGATCCAACCAGTGCCGGCCACCTCCACCGACCACCACCCACCCACCGTCACGGCAGCCTCCTCCTGCCCAGCCCCAAACACCACCAGAGGCACCTGGGAACACTCACGATCACAGCCCTCTCTGCTCTCTGCTCTGGCCCCTCTGTGCTCCACTCATCCCAGGGTAAGAATCAGAGTCCTCCCTGTGTCCACAAGGCCCCACACAACCTCCTGTCCCCTCTGCCCTCAGCTCTTCCAAACACGCTAGAAACATTTTCACCTCAGGGCCTTTGCACTGCCCCCTCCCCTAAGATCTCTGCATGGTTCCCTCCTTCCCCGGAGATGGCCTGGGTTCCCCTTCCCAGGCAGACTGGGGCCCTTTGAGGACGTCTGTCCTGCGTGATCCCAGCCTCCTAGCTAACAGGCAGGGTGGGTCCCAAGGGCCTAGCGTTACCTTTCGGGGCTGTGCCCCCAGGAAGGTGTCCTGGAGACTCCCGCAGCACGGCCTGGGAAGCGAGGCCTCGTGCTTCCTGCCTGCCTGGGAACGCCCAGCTGCGTCAGCTCCACGTGCAGCAGAGCCTCTGACTGCCCCTAAACAGCTCTGACAAATTGCTCTGGAAACCCAGGAAGCTTTGGAGTGTGTGCTGCCTCAGGAAAGGGCAGAGGGCCAGGTGGCTGCCCGCCCGGGATCACTCAGCCCAATGCAGTGCCCACAGTAGGCGCTGGCGCCTGGCAGTGTGCCCGGAAGCCGGGCTCCCATGACGAACGTCTGGGGGGAGAGTCTGTGAAGTCACTGAAGTCATCGATGGACACAAGCTCCTACAGGCTGCAGCATCTTCCACGGCACGGCGGGCAGGGCTGGAGTGCGGGGGGGCGTGGGGGTTCCCTGCTTGGGCATGCCAGGGCCCATCCCTTTCCCGGAAGCCCTCAGATTTCACAGGCAAACTCATCCCCTTCTACCCCGGAACTAATCCATTTTCTCCAGAGTGGCCCCGAGTGGTTTCCTCCCCAGACCTTATCGCCGCCACCTGGCATATTACTTCAGGGTTGCTCAGCTGTCTGTCTGCCTCGCGCGCTCTCTCTCTCCAGGAGAGTGTCGGTTCCACAAGGGAGGAACCTGACCTTCTTCCCTGCTGTATCACCATGTTGGGAACAGTGCCTGGCACACAGTGGGCGCTTTAGTGGTCAGGCCCGCCCAGCCTTGCTCTTCTCCTCTCTCAAGAACCTCAATGTCCCCATCTGCAGCAGTCTCCGGCCGCTCAGCCGGCACTGTCCTGGACCTGCGCTTGTCTCCTTCCTTACGCCCCCGCAAGGTCACTTGCTGAGGCAGCCACGGATGCTCTGTCCTCCGGTCCAGGCCTCCTCTTTCTCACTCACATCTTGGCCTCAAGCTCATAATCTGAGACTTCGCCTCTGGTCTCGCTCCCAGCACCATCTTTCAAAACGTGAAGTTGCCTGTGCCACCTTTTCCGCTGAGACCTGTTCCTGTTGCCCACAGCTCTTAGCACGGCATCCAAACTCCGCAACACAGCTGGCAGGTCTGGCCCCTGCTGACCTCCCCAGCCTCCCATTAGCTGCCTTCTCTCAATGTGAACACGAGCCAGGGGGCCTCTGTTCAGTGACCTGGTGACACCCACCCTCCTCCTCATCTGCTCATAGGGACACCCTAACCACACCCGATCTTCCCTTCCACTCTTTTAAAAAAAATTGCCCCCATACAGCAAAGTGTATAAAACACATATGTACAATTTAATAAAAAGCGACACAGCAAACACCCATATAACTGTGTCCCAGGTCAAGAATATATCATCAGGGGTCAAATAGGTGGTGATGGAAAGAAATCTAACTGGGTGGTGAACAGACGATGCAATATATATATAACTTACTATTGAATTGTACCCTCGAAACAATGGATTTTGTTAATAAATATCACCCCAATAAAAAATATATCATCAGCTCCCCTGGCAACCACTTTACCTGCTCCTTCCTCCGTATCCCTCTCACCCTTGGCAGAAATGACCCCTCCTCAGGAACACTATCCCCACCCCGAGGCTAGATCAGACACCCCGGTCCAGCCCTGCACCACATCCCCTCTCGGACCCCAATGAGTCTTCGCAGTAGGCTTTCCCTTAGCATAATTCGTTCATGACTTTGTAAGTATTTGCTTGCTGTCTCCTCTGATACCTGCCTGTGCCAGGCCAGCCTGGGCCCTGTCCGCCTGCAGTGCTCAGCAGAGGGCTGGGCACACAGCAGGTGCTCGCGGTATGAAGCCATAAGGTGCTACGCTACCAAGTGCTGCAGAGGCAGAGCCAAGGGCGACTACTGAGCACCTGTGCCTGCCCTCGCGAAGCTGCGGCTGGGCAGCAGGCTGTCCCTCCAGCGTGGCTCAAGGGAATCGGCTGTTGAGAGCAGATGCAGAAGCAGCTGGGCTGCCTGGGGGAAGCGGCGGCGTGGCCAGAGGCAGGCAGAGGCACCCTTGGGCCCCTTGAGCACTCAGCCACCGTCCGGGAACTGGTGCCTACTGAGATGAAAAGACTGTGGGAGGAATGAGCTGGGAGTGAGACATACAGTGAGTCCTGCGCATCTTCTGTCTAGAACACGCTGCCCTCCTGGTCCCTGGTTAGCTAACCCTCTTCTGTCCAGGAAAACCCCTCCTGCACGTGGGTCAGGCCCTTCCTGTGGGCTCCCACATCCCAGGTGCTTCCCTCACCCCGGCTCTGACCACTCTGGCCCATCACTGTTTGGGGACAGTCTGTCTCTCCCATCAGGCTGTGAGCCCTGATAGGGCAGGCCTGGGCTGTCTCAGTCATCACGGCATCCTCAGTGCTGCCTGTAACAGGCCTGACCCAGGAGAGACTTTCTGATTTAGTCTGAGACAGACCTCATCTTTTTTGTAACATCCTCTGTGACTCTAATGACAACCAGGCTTGAGGTCCACTGCCAGGTACTATTTTTAGGGCTCTACAAAGAGCTCATTTAAACCTCACCACATCCCTATAAGGTAGTTATGCAACTTATCCTCCATCTCACAGATGAGGAAACTGAGGCCCAGAGAGGTTCAGTCATTTGCCCAAGGCCACAGAGCCAAGACAAGGCAAAGGTGGGGCTTGAACCCCGGTGTACTGACTCTGGAGCTCACACACTCATCTACTGTGAAGATGTTTCTTTAAATCAACTCATTTCATTTTCTTGAACTTGTCCAAGGCACTATCTGTAAAATCAAGGGATGAGTGGGTCACACTTTCCCTAATACTCATTAAAGCAAACATACATCCATTTTAAATACAACACATTCCTCCCTTTTCACCCACCCAAATCACCTCGAGCACCCCGTTTTGGGAAATGCTGTTCCACACTAGAGCCTGGTTGCCTAGGAGAGAACTTGGGGAAGCAGCTTTAATGAGTAGATAAGAATGATTTGCAATTAGCATCAATTGTCTGTATGCAAATTAAAGCTCCCAACCACAGGGCCCGCTTTTGTAGCGGGCTCCTCTCCCATTTTATTGTCTTCATTTCTGGGTTCAGCAAATCCTTCCCTCAGACGTAGGGTAATTTTATGCCCCACCCTCACCCCCCAGCCTCCTCAGCCACCGTCTACGCCCCAGCACCACAGCTGCTTCTGTCACAGATTTCACGACCCTGCAGTTACTCGGGTTCACTAACATGGGCTGTGCCCAGCACAGGGGTCGCCACAGCTGAGACCCGGGACCCCGTGGCACCGAGTTCCTCTGGGTGGGTGCACTTTGACATCTCGGTGATGACCTGATTCTTGTCTGTCTCCCTCAGTGATGGTGGGCTGAGGTGAGGGCTGGGGTCTCGTCCAGACTGGCTCATTACTTCTCCTCACCTCCCAGCGCAAAGCCCAGGACATAGCAAATTCCCAAGAAATACTTGAGTGAAGCGAACAGATAAATGAATGGAGTTGTCAAAAGAGTCTGTGAGTTCCAACAACTAAGAATTTCCTGTCTGGGGAGGCGGGGACCAAGCTCACGGGGACATGCTCTCTCTCCCAAACTGCACCCCTCTCCTGGGCTTCCTGACTCAGGTCCGTGGACCATGGCGAGGGGAAGGTCCGACATAGGGCACTCTCAAACACAGCGCTTTCTAAACCTGCCAGAGAACCACCGCTAGGCCATGATATTTCAGGAGGTGTCTGTTGCACAGCATTTTGACATTTCAAACAAATGAGACTAGATCCAAGCGCTTTGCCTTCAGTCAGGCTATGTACTGTTTGCGGATTTTTTGCTTTACCTTTTTCTAACATAGACGTTTCTGTATAGACATACACACTAGTCCACTGTGTGTTGCGTCAAGGAAGCCCAAGGCTATTGCCGGGTGCTTGTGTCCTCTGTGGAGAGGGGCCACAGGTCTGAGACCCGTGAAGGTGTCGGGCAGCCCAAGGAGGTGAGGACCCCTGATGGGGGACTGGCCTTGTGCTGGCCCTGCTCAGAGCGGTCAAGGATAGGAAGGGAGGCTGTGGCCTTAGGGGTCCGCCCTGGGAGTGGAAGCTCAGGAATCACTGCCTGGGGCGGGTCCTCTCAGGGGGTCCACGGACCAGGCTGAGCAGGTGACTGCAGAAGGATTTTTCCGCCTTTGTGCATTTTTCTGGGAGGCGGTTCACGGTTTGTTTTCATCAGATTCTCAAAGTGTGTGGTTCCGACTCCAGGCTGCTGGTTCCTCAGCGCCTGTTCTCCCTCGCGTACCCCCTGCCTGCCCTCAACGTGTGGGCCTGGGAGCCGCGAGCGGGCCTGGGAGCTGCGGCGTTGGCACCTATTGGGAACTTTAAAAAATTGCATATTCTTAGGCTGCACCCTGACCTGCTGAATCAGACACTCTTAAACTTTCATAATGTTAATGTAAAGTAATCAATATGACTTTTTTGGAGATGGTAAAAATAAAAAAGAAACTGCGTGGGGCCCAGCTTCTGTGTTGAAAAGCCCCCTCCAGGGGACTGTCCGGGGACCACTGCCCTTTACTGCGTCGGCTGGAAAGCTAAACGGTGATGCCCCAGACCTCCTTGCAGCTGGGACGGTCATGTGACGCTGCTCGCTGAAGGGGGTTCTGGGAAAGCTCTTGCTTCTCCATAGCAGGGGAGCTGTACATAGGCTGCAGTCCTTCCTCTGCACTCTGCCCCCACGCCGCCAGGGGCACCGCCGCCATCTAGAGACCAGGAAGTCTCAGCTCGTGTAACGGGGATGATGGGGCAAGAAGACACAGGGTGCCAGGCCTTAGAGGCCTCCCCAGGCCGCTGCACAGCCTGGCTCAGCCTTCTCCGGACCTCCCATCAGGGGACTGTTAAACCTCTATTACCTCCAGCCAAATACACTCCTAACCGATAGAGTCTGTGACCCCAGAAAGCATAAAAACCGGTGGTCTCAGAGGGAGAAGGAAAGAGACACAGAGGGTCAGAGTGAACCAGAGACAGACGAGACAGTCAGGGGTTTCTCTTCCTCTGCTGGGTCTTCGAAGGCTGAGGGATGGGCAGCAGGGCTGCTCCGTGAGCCTCCCCACTCTAAGCCAACTAGTGTGCAAGCACGTACACCTGTGAGCATGCTTCTGGGGAGGGGACCCTGCCGTCAGGATGGTGCGGGAAGCAGAAGGGTGTCAGGCCTCCATGAAGGGCCCAGGGGAGGAGCAGTGCCTTACCTGGGCTGCCTCGGTGGGTCATGGCTGCCCCCAGCCAGGCCTGTAGGGGTGCTGGAGCCCGAGGTGTACAGCTTCGGTCGGTAGCCCTTGCTCTGGCCAGCAACTGCAGGGGCGGGTGACACCTCCCGCCGCTTGTCTGCATGATGTGGTCGCCTGGCGGCCTCACGCCCGCCCCCACAGAGGCCAATATTTCCTGGGGGCTTGTGTGGCTTGGCGGACCGAGGTGCCTTGGCCAGCGACATGCAGCTGGGGCTGGAGGTGTAGAGCGTGGTGTCAATGCCGCTGTCGCTGGAGCCGCCTTTGGAGAGGGGGTCTTGCTCTGGCTCTAGAGGGTCCAGGGGGTCAAACCAGCGATCGTCACTGTGGCTGCTGGAGGCGTTGCTGGAGAGGGTGTTGCTGCTGGAGTGACTGGAGTACTGGGGCTCTCCCTGGGGGGCGAGAGAAGCGTGACATCCCCAGACGTCAGGGCAGGGCAAACTTCCCCTCCCTGGGCCCCCCTCCGACGAGTGTGACCCCTGGAGCCAGACATCTGGCAACTCTGGCTCCTCTACTTACTGGCCATGTGACCTGGGGCAAGGGCCTCAGTGTCCACATCTGTAAAATGGAGTGGATAATAACTCTGCCTCGGGGGGGTTGCTCGGAGGGATAAATGACCTTAGGTATGTATCTCGTGAGCCCACAGCTCAAGCTCAACACGTCTAACACTCAGCTCCCATCTTTCCCTCCGGAATCTGCCTCTTCTGTCTTAATAACGGCACCCCCACCCTTTCAGCTGCCCGCCCCCATGCAAGAGCCCTGGAGTCACCCTGGAGCCCGCTTTTGCTCTCACACCGTGTCCAGTCCAACAGCAAATCCTGTTGCCGGCATCTTCAAAACAGATCCAGAACCCGCCACTCATTCTCCTTCCGTGGCTCCGTCCACCACTGCCTCCCACTGGACCATAGCAGCAGCCTCCTCCCTGTCTCCCTGCTCCTGTCCCTCTCCCCCTACACCCTCCACTCCACTTTGTTCCCTCCATGCAGCCAGAGGAAGGCTGTGAACACCTGTGTCAGTTCATGTCCCTTCCCTGCTTAGAGCCCTCCGGTGGATCCATCTCACTCAGAGGAAAAGCAAGAGTCCTCGCCAGTGCCCTGAAGCCCTGGGCAACCTGGACCGTGTCCCGGTCTCTAACGTCATCTGCCTCTCCCTCTCCCTCTCGCTCCCTCTGCTCCAGCACGTGGACCTCCCTGCTGCTCTTGGAGCATGCCAGGCACACTCCCACTTCAGGGCCTTTGCACTTGCTGTTCCCTTTGGCTGCAATGCTCTTCCCCCAGATATTTTCACAGATCACCCCTTGCTTCATTCAAGGTTTCGGCTTAAAGGTCACCTCCTCGAAGACCTTCTCTAACCACTTCGTCCTAAAGCAGCAGTGCTTGACACTCTTCCCTTAACCGTGCTTTGTTTTCCTTTCCCAGCCAGGAATAGTTCTTGGCGATCCATGATATATCCGTTTATCTGCTTAGTGCTTGTTGCCCCCACTGGCGCATCAGCTTTGTGAGCACAGGGGCTAGTCTGCTCTCTTCGTCATTGAGGCCCCAAGGCCTGGCACCGTAAGTGCTCATCAAACACCCACTGAGTGAATGGATGTGAACAGACTGCCAAGTGTTCACCAAAACGATCTTCTTCTCCTGCGCACATGGAACTACATTTCCCAGCTTCTCTTGCAGTGAGGTGTAGTCATGTGATAGAGTCCGAGCCAATAAAATCTAAGTGGAAGTGATGATGCTACTTCCAGGCCTGGGCTACAAAAACTTCCCATGTGAACCTCTCTTCCTCCAACCCCCACCTGCTGGAAAGAGGCAGAGACCTGAGGAAAAGTGGAGCCACAAGGAGAGGGAATCTGGGTTCCTGAATTACCACGTGGGAAGCTGCTCACTGAATACCCACAGTGAGTTGTTACATGAGAGGGACATAAACTCCTGCTGTGGGAGGTCGCGGAGATTTGGGGACTATGTGTCATAGCAGTTAACCTACTGCCAGAGACTGAATGTTTGTGTCCCCCGGAATTCACGTCGAAGCCTAATCTCCAGAGTATTGGTATTAGGGGGTGGGGCCTCCAGGAGGTGATTAAGTCATTAAGCCTCATAAATGTGATTTTAAAATCCTTATATGTATTTACCTATTTATGGGAGGTGATTAAGTCACGAGGGTGGAGCCTCATAAATATGATTTTAAAATCCTTATATGTATTTACCTATTTATCCCTATATATGAATTTATATGTTCCTCGTGAGCAAGGTTATAAAATCCATATGTATATTTGCGCCCTTATAAAAAGGGACCCCAGAGAGCTACCTTGCCCGCTCTACCACATGAGGTAAGAAGGCCGTCTGTGAACCAGGAACGGGCCCGCACCAGACACCGATTCTGCCTGGGCCTTGACCCTGGACTTCTCAGCCTCTAGAACTGTGAGAAATGAATTTCTGATGTATATAAGCTACCTGGTCTACAGTATTTTTGTTATAACAGCCCAAGCTCAAGACACCTACCATGACCAATGTAATAAAGAGGAAACTAGCCTAAAGAGGTGAAGGGATTTGCTTTAGATCACACAGCTGGTGAGGGCTGGAGTCAAGATCTGACTGGTTCTAAGTCCAGCATTTGGCCCCTCTGCCCGAGTGGAAGGTGGCAAAGGTGCTCACGTGTGGCATTCAGAAGCCCACACCCACCGAAGGCAGGTGAAGCTGCTGGGCCCACGGTAGTCATGGTAAGCCAAGCAGCCAACTCCTACAGCCCTGACTCCCCAGGGTGGGGCAGGCGGAGCCCAGACTCACTTTGGAATGCCTGTTGGGGGAGTCTTTGCCTGCTGCGTCCTGCCGGGAGGCGTGCTTGTTCCCGCTGCTTGCAGCCAGGGCCGAGAGCCGGGCCTGGGCAGGCACATGCCACAGAGGCTCTGCAGGAAGACATGAGACATACCAGTGGTTAGAGGTGACTCAGGCTGTGGCCTGAGTCCACTTGAAGAATCTGGCCCTAAATCTGGTTTGATGGAGCCACCCCTCCGCCAGCTTGTCTGCTCAGCTCACACAGGGCCACGACCCCATCGACTTACATCTTGGGGTATGACAATACTCAGTAACGGAACAGTTACTGAGCACTTTCTCTATACCAGGCCCCAATGCAGTGCTTTGCATGGATGAACTCATCGAAGCCTTACAACAATCCTCCATCGTCACGCAAAGGAGGCTGAGCACGTTTTCATCCTTACTAGACATTTGGCCTTTTTATTTTGTAAATTACTTGTTCATTTCCTTTACCCAATTTTCCACAAGATCGACTATCTTTTTTCTTATTGGTGAATAGGGTTCTTTATATATGCAAGGTTGCAATCCTTTGTTGGTTAAACACGCATACTATTTTGTTAAATGAAAATGGAATCATAATAAACATCATCCTACCAGTTGATTTTCACTTTACAGTATACTTACACTTGTTTTTGCTTTATGTCTTCATAATACATCTTCACACAACCGAACATGAAGCTATCTTATTTCTAATAGCTGTGCAGTATTCCATTGTGTGAACGGGCGTCAATTATTTAACCAGTTTTCTATCAATGGACATTTAGGTTATTTTTGATTTTTCTTTAAAACAATGTTTTGGTGGCCTTCCCGCTATACACAACTTTGAGCAAGTGTGGGACTTGTGTCTGGGACAGAATTCTATAAGTGGAATTGCTAGTTCAAATGTGAAATAAGTTTAAAATTGTGATGGCTGGTGTGCGTATAAATTAGTCTAAACTCTCAAAGCCAATGAGCCTGAACTAAGCATCTGACCTTAAAAACAAAAACAAAAATCACCACCGATGGAAGACTAGTTATCGATCTTATAAACACTCGGGAAAGGTGGGCCTGGCCGGCTAGGCAGGGCGCTTGGGGTCACTGCAGAGGGCAGCTGGCTGGCACAGTCCAGGGTGCCACCACCCATGAAGCATTTAGTTGGGAGCCACGGATATGAACGAGCAGGGAGGCAGGTCGCTTTGTCACCTACTCTACCTGAGGAAACTGCTCTCCTCTTTGGAGCATCCCGTACACGCAGGAGGTGCTGGTCTCCTGGGAGGTGGCCAGCCCATGCCGGAAACCACATTTCTACAGAGAGCCAAGCCTGTGGCCCATACGCCCAGCCTAACTACCACCTACAACACCGACGACACACGTGTCTGTCTCTAGACTTCTGCCTTGACTTCAGACTTGGATACACGGCTACCTCATAGCACCTCCACTGGGCGTCTGCTGGGCACCTTCCACCGCACATGACCAAAGTCCACTCCTCATCTTCCCCAAACCTGCAGCTCTCAGGCTCCCCTGCTCAGCCAATGGCCACTCTGCCCTGTCAGGTGCTCAGGCTGAAACCTGGTACCATCCTGGACTCCTCCCTTCTCACCCGTGTCGAGGCATGAGGAAATTCTGTCCACTCCACCTTGAAACGACTATGTCCAGAACCCAGTGCTCTCTCCCCCTTCACTGTCCCGACCTGGCAAGAATCTGCAGCAAGACGGACCCTGTGAACTCCCAAGTCAGGTCCCACCCATCTCTGTACCAAGCTGGTGACTCCCATCCACTCTGAGCTGAGGACAAAGTCCTCACCACGTGCTGTGTCCCTGTCACCTCCCTGGCCTCATCTCCCACCAGCCCTCCAGCCTTCTATGGTTCCTCTAACAGCAGACTCACTGGCACCTCGGCGTCTTCAACTGGCTGTTCCCTTTCCCTGGAATGTCCTCCCAGTGCCCGCGTGGTACTCTTCCAGCCTTGCCCGACCAGGATCTGTTTAGAGATTCTCCCAGCACTACGTTAGCTCCCGCCTGATACTCGGCATCGCTGGTGAGTGTTTACCATCGTGTGCCCCGTCTCTTCTCTGTCTTTCCCCTCAGACTGCTGGCTCTGAGTAGGCAGGGGATGTGCCTGCCTGGCTCACGCTGCACCCCTGGTGCACGGTCTGGTGTCCCGCTCCTGAGGGGCCGGGTTCTTCCCCCGCTGGCCGCTCCAGCGTCCCTGCCTCTGCCTGTGGAAGGCCCTGATCCTGGGCCCTCCATTGGTCCTCTGGACTGGCCCCCAGGGACCTTCTGGCTCTCCTGCTTCACCCCTGACATGCTGAGTGAGTGACAGACGTGGATTTGGGTGCAAGAGACATGCTGAAACCATGGCCAAGCACAGACTCGGGGCAGCTGGTGACCCTGGGGACCTCTTCCCAACCTGGGTGCTCTGAGGCTTGAAAAACACCCACACTATGGGTTTTGAGGTGCAGGTGGTGTCAGTGGGTGGTGGGGTTAAGAAGGGGTTCCAGAACCCAACAAGCCTTGGTTAAAATCTCAATGATGCCACTTATCAGTAGGAACCTTGGACAAGTGACAACGTTTCTGTGCCTCATCTTCCTCATTTCTAAAACTGGCAGTAAAAAGTGCCCGCTGTCGTGCTCCCGAGGTGAGTAAACAGGAAGGAATGTGGGGTGCAGTGAGCTTGCTGCATGCTCACACATACAGGATGCTTGCTGCATGCCCAGTACAGTGCTGGGCATACAACAAGCACACAAAACTGTGTTGCTGTTACTACGACTACTGATCAGGCCTGGGCGAATCCCCATGTGTGCTTGGGTGCCTGAACCTCCCACCCTGAACTACCTTTTTTCTGGGTCCTGGATACACTCTAGATTTCATGATGAATGCCCTGATTTGTGTAGGAGTGGGATGCGGGGGAGGAGGTGTTAGTCAACTTATAACAAGGTCCCAAGGAGGTGAGAGGGGAACCAAGCTCTGGGGGACAGAAGGGAGAAGGGAAGGACAATGGTGAGTTTCTGCAACAGCTTATTTGGGGCCTACGGTGAACGTTGGAAAAATTTCCTTCTCATTTTACACTTTGGTGCAATGAAATCACCAAGAAACACTTTTCTTTTTCTGAACTGGGAGGGGAAAAAAGATGCAAATCTGTCTGTCTTGGGGCAAAGGTCACAGACTTGCAGACGGGGACAGGCAGGATCACATGGGTTTGCAGGCCCTGGAGGCGCAGAAAGAGAAAGGGTCTCGAGGGTGACAGGCTGCCTGAAGTCCAGCCACTTGCCCAGGTGTAAGGGCACCATGGGGCTGGGAGCCGAGGCCTTCCGCAGGCCGCTAGGCCCGGGCACGCAGCCTCTTCCCACCCTGCAGTGCCCGGGGAGCTGATGAAGGGCCGACACGGCCACCCCCCGAGCGGCCTGGAAAGCCTGGGACCCCCCGACAGGCCATCTCCATCTCTGCCCCGCAGCGCCAACGCTCTCTGGCATCTCACCCATTCTTTCTTCAGCGCCCACCCACTCATCTGATGGTCCTCAGACTCCAAGGGGGCTACAAGTCTGTAACGTGAAATTATGTTCAAAATATTTATCTAAGTGGATGCACCCATGATCATCATTCTATACAGAAAAATAAACAGATGAGAAGATGCTCAGTCTCCTCAGGCACTGGGAAAATTCAAACTAAAACTGCAATGGACTACCCCTACCTGGCTGACACGAAAAGGTTGGTGAGGACATGAAGCAACAATTCTCATACGTCACTGGCGGGCGTGTGAAAGTTTGTCACTTGAGGAAAAAGTTTTACAGTCTCATGTTAACTTAAACATGTGACCCAGCAATTCCGCTCCTAGGTGTATACCCTACAGATGCGTGAGCCTGTGCTCATCAACAGATGGACACAGGACAGCCCCAGCCGGACTACGCTCAGCAGCCCCGAACTGGAAACCACCCAAACGTCCCCCGACACTACAGTGGAATACTACTTGGAAATTGTGTGGCTACACACAACCCCATGGCCAACTGTCATCAACGTAACACTCAGTGACAGAAGCCAGACAGACACACAGAACGCATCTAGCGTTTCTGTAGACGTGAAATTCAAAACCAGACAAAATGCAGTTCGGCTGTGAGAAGCAGGACTTGGGGGCCCGTGGGGTACTGACTGGTAGGGGTGGGGGCTTTCCGAGGCTGGGCACGCTCCATCTCTTGCCCCACCCAGGTGTGGAACGTGGCACAGTCACTTCGTGATGGCATCATGTCGGACACTCAGGATTTGGGCTCTTAGCATGTGCTGTACACGCATGACAGCCGAGAAACGCGAAGCCTCCCCCGAGGCACTACTTTCGGTCCTTTTCGACT